ACTGTCACCTCGCTCGTACGCTCTCACAAAGATCTGAGCAAGACAGCGCTAGGCGTGCGCTAGCAAGAAAAGGTATCACCCGTCCTGCCGCAGGACTCCGCGAAAAGCACTCGCTGATCACGTGCGCGGCAAGTGCGTGAAACCTTCCACTAGTTCGGCGCGGTAATCTTTGTGATTACTTCGCGGCCGAGATTTACTTAATTCGATGTCGATTTAAAAGGAGCGAGTGCCCAATATGCATTTGTCTTCACACGACACGAGAGAACAACGGATTTCTCAAAATTCGATGTTCGTCCTTATCACACGTGCTCGACACGTGCCAAGAAACGCCGGTATGTATGTCGCGAACACTTTGACGATAATGTCGCGAGCGAAACTCCGGAAATCACTTTCAATTCCTCGAGACAACTAGAAGTACCACATGAGATTTCGGTCTCTCACTCGTCGTAAAAGTTCGCGAACGCGAAAATGCAGTTACGCGAAAACTTTTGAGTCGATCGAACCGAGGGCACGTCTTGTCTCGCCGACCATTTTCCAATGACTCTCTTTTCTTCTCCAAAAATGATTTTTCTATCGATCGCGAGTGGCGCGACGGTAACGCGTGGCTCACTCTAATTGGCCCAATTCTTTTCTCTTGCGGTGCTTACCGAGAGGTGCTGCCACGCGAGATAAGTTTTTGCGGATTATTCAAAATGTTGCAACCGATACTTAATTTTGACCCGATCCTGAACAAATATAAATAAAGATAATGTAGTATTGTCGGTTTTAGGCTTCAATATCACAATAATTTATGCATTAATATATACGCATTTGCATATTGAAAGCTAACTTTTTCACGCATAGCAACGTTATGTTGAGTTTTACTATAATTATTGCGATATTTTACTTCCTGGGAAATTATGCAATTTGTGCTATGCATCTTTTTGAAAGTTATAATGATACTTTGCGGCAGCTGCCTACCAAGATACAATTTCCGTTTGAAGTTGAAGAATCGCCAATTTTTGAGTTGCTTTTTATAATTTTAATGCTACATCTGATGTCAAATGCCACATTAGTCCCTCTTCTTAAAGGATTAATCTTTTCTTTGGTATGTTTTAAATTTTACCTTTCCATTTTTATTTCTTACGAAAATTGCGCAAGAAAACAATTAGTGACGCTTAATTATAACATGTTAGAACATTCTCACATAAAATTTCAATTTCCAAGTACATTTCTCATAATAAAAATATTTTTTATTACAAGATAATATTTGAACTTTATGTAGAACTTTTGTAGAAAAATAAATATATTTTAGGTAATTTACGTAA